TTCGTGGAGTTTTTGAATATCGTGAACTTATTCTTCAGCATCCTACCTGATCTCTGATATTGGCAGTAGTGATACAAATTCAAGTGGCCTTAGCGGGTTGTGTCTGTATATATTCTCGAACAAAGTGTCATGTAATCTGACTCACAGAACTGTTGCAGGGGAACTAGGCTTGTGCTAGAAGTAGATTCCACTACTTAATGCTCTGTCCCATGAAACACCTCAAAAGGTTTCCTAGGCTACTATTTACTACCTCTGGCTGACCGTTCGCCTATCAGAGTTTGGTGTCAAACTTTCCCCATAAAGCCCTCCAAAAGTGGCTCATAAATCTAACTTCTCTGTCGTGGGTGATAGTCCTGGGAATCCTATGCAATCTCATGATCTCTCCGAAATATAAATCGACAACACGAGACGCGTCTAGTGCTAATGGCAAAGTATGAAATGTGTCATCTTCGAGAATCAGTCCACCACAACCATCACGAAATACTTGTTCTTAGGCATCCTCGGAAGATCTACCACAAAGTCCATTCTAACATCTACCTATGATGCCTCTGGTACTGATAATAGAGTGTACAACTCAGCATTCTACCTTCTTGATTTTGTCATATGACAAATCCTGCACTGTCTGATGAGTCACTCCACATCTCTCGCCATTCATGGCCAAAAGAAATGCTCTCTCACAAGGGTGAGTCTTGTCTCTGCCAAAATGTCCTGTCAATCCTCCATTGTGGCTTTCCTGAACAATGACCTCTCTCAATCAGCATCTAGGTATGCACAACTTACACTAGTAGAATAAGTAATCCTCCTGCCCTAACCAGTTCATCTGGCTAATCAGAGCTTCACAACAGTGCCATAGATATGTTACCTTGACGGACATGAGTGGTCAACCTGAAGGAGAAATGACTAGACCTAAGCATTTTAATCAACTATTCCATCTGATTCTTAATAGTTTGGTGAGTCAGGAATGGTCCGAGTAGGGGCCGGTTGAACTGTTGTGGATTTCGAGGTCGTAGCAGGACCTTTAGCAGTGGAAGAATTGGTCGAAGTCTTATTTTTTGGTTTCTCGTGGAGCTTCCAAAATTTGTCACTGGTTAGGTGGGGTTCGTGAGAAAAATCACATGTGGAGTGATTGGCTCGCGAGGACTTGGCAGAGTATGGAATATTGTTGGAAACCAAGGCTGACGGCTAGGCTGAAGTAGTTGAGTTGTCAAGCATCACCATTCTCCAGTTTTCCTCATAGCGAATCTCGGCGAATGTTGCTCGGGTTGAAGGAAGAGGTTCATGGCCAAGGATAAGACCGCAAACATCATCAAGATCCTTATTCAGGCCAGCCAGAAATAGGAGCACGCAATCCTTTTCCAAAATTTTATGGAATAGAGAAAGGTCTGCTAAAGAGTCCCAAGTGTAATCATATTATAGGTCACATTCCATCCTAAAGCAACAAAAACGTTGTAGTACTAGGTCACCATCTTCGATCCATGTTTAGCCTTGTGAATGTTATTAGAAACTTTATAGAGTTGTCCAGAATTACATAAGTTCGAGTAGGTATCACAAACAGCAGTCCAAATGACACTTGCAGATAGAAAAAACAAGAACGACCAATAAAGGTCTCCATGGAATTAATCAGCCATTACATAACCATGGAGTTATATGATTCCCACGCAGCATATGGTAGGACAGTCTTCTGAGGTTCACGAATCATACCCGTGAGGTAGCCAAATTTACCCTGACCACTGATGAACAACAAAAAAGCTTGAGACAATTGGATAAAATTGGAGTTGTTGAGTTTATGGGTGGTAATCAGGAGATTCATTTAGTGTTTAGGCCCTCCGGCCTACAGAGGGGTTAATGTAGATGTTGATCCTCTGGTGGACTCAAAAACAGCGTCGGACAGAAGCTCGGTAGTGAAGGAATCAGACATGGTTCTGATGGAGTCAAAGGAGAGGTTTGGATGCAGAGACATGGAAGGAGTCGATCCCTCACTCGACTGTCAACAAGCAAGGCCTGCAGGAAAGGATTTCCAGACGGCAGGAAGGATATCCGATCAAGCAGGATGTAGATCCGGCAACAAGAAGGGAGTCTAGCAGTTCTGGAAGGAGGTCCAACAACTAGAGGTAGGGACCTGGATAGGGAAGGCCTGCAAGGAAGAGATCCGGTTGTAGGGAGGTTGACAATTTTGGATAGAGGTCTGCAATTATAGACCATTAGGGGAAGTTCTGGCGGCAAGTAGGGTTGTAATCAAGCCGAGTCAAATTGAGTATATCATAGTTCAGACTGGGTATGGTATGATTATAAGTTGTCATGTTCGGCTTGAGCCTTTATCGAGCTTTTATATATTATTCAAGCTTGACTTGTTTAAAATTTTCAATGTTTAAACTTGATTTGTTCATGACAAGTGAACAAGTATTTAAACGAGCTAATAAACGAGTTAAAATTCAAATATTTATCTAAAATGATTTTATAAATATGATAGCACTTATTAATTTATCGATTATAAATTCTATTAAAATGAAAGGTATGTCATGAACAATGATCATATGTGATGTAATCTCTCATATTTTAGCATAATCATATTTTCAAGTTTGCACTCAACTCCCACATTCAAATGTAAGTGTTAGTTTTCCTATAGTGATATGCAATTGTACTTTTCTAGCTTTTTTTGACAATTTTATAGATGTCTTTCATATTGAGTCATTGTATCATCCTTATTCTTAATCATACATAACTTACAATAATTGTGTTGCGCCTTCATAACTTGCAATATGCCCAAATCTTTTTAGGTCTAACGCTGTCTTTCTTAACATAAGTCAAATCTAAAACATCTAGTCTTCTAATCGAATCATCAGATGATCGACGTTTAATGTGACCAACCATCTAAGAAGACTCTCTCTAATTTTGTCTATCACTGGAGCTACACCAACCCTATCACGGATATGTTCATTTTGCATTTTGTCTCAAAGTGTAAAGCCACTCATCCACCTAATCATTCTCATCTCAGCAACACTTAGTTTTATGCTTCTCTTTTAAAAACCAACATTCAGCGTCATAGAGCATTACAAGTCTCACCACCATCTTATAAAATTTTCCTTTCAGTCTAAGCGGTACTTTTCTATCACACAATAGGCCCGAAGCATTCCCAATAGACCCGAAGCATTCCAAAGGTTTTAAAAATTGTGAACATAATCAACTATGTTCATCTTTAGTTTATTTAACCTCCAAGCTTTTAAAAATTATTCAAACTTATTTATTTACTGATTTGAATGAACATGGTCAACTCTAAATTGAGCCGAGTTCGAGTTGTTCATTGAGTGCATTGTTTCATTACAGCCCCAGTGACAAGAGACCTGCGGGAGAAGTTTCGGCGGCTAAAGGCCTGCAGGGAGAACTTCCGGAGGTGAGGATAGGACCTGACGGCTATGATAAGATGCCCGGGATCTGATAGCATGTAGGTTTTGAACATTGAGCATCATATATTATTGATATGAAATGGGAGATATAAATACATCTTACGTGAATCCTAAAATAGGAAATGCATAACACATATATCTCCAACATTACAATTAATCAATTCTTAATAATTACCCTGAGATAAAAGGAAAGACATAAAATAGAAAATACATAAAATAAAAAATAACATGAAATAAAATAAATAAATACTAATAATTTCTAACAGTAAGCCATCGCACCTTCCCAGATGTAAGAATTGATGAATGATTTTAAGTTGAAAAAAAAATAATAGGCTTGTAAAACAAGAAAAATTTTGCAATATTCAACCATCAATCAATTCCAAAAATCATGCCCATTATTGCAAAAATCAAGCCGTCTTAATTTCTCTGAGATTTTTTCCTTCACTAGATAGCTAGAATTGTCGGTATGCCCTACTGTGTTTCCAGACCATCTACCTTACTCCTCTCCCTATTTTAATTTAATTTGCATTATGTTATTTCCATTTGGAGGAGGTTGAAAATATGTATTTAATACCTAGTAATTTATACTTATTACTCCTCACTTGGCTCTTGGCGGATCCTCCTTAAGCCACCTTACTTGCCTAAGAAAATATATTTTGGCTCTTTTATTAATAAAAAAAAAAGAAAGAAAGAATTGAGATCATTCACTTGTGTGTTTTTATGTGTTTCTTTATTTTTAACAATTTCCTATTCCCTTTCTTCTAGGACAAGATTGCCATAAGTGCCTCACCTTAAAAAAATGAGAAAAATGTAAGCCATTTGAACAATTGCCCCTGCTCTTAAGCCATTTTGTGTGTGGCATGTATGTTTGCAACCAAGAAAGAGAAGTGAGATGGCGAGTTGTTGTCGGTTTCAAATGATATTCAAAAGTTGGAGAAAAAAGAAAAAAGAAAAATAGAGGGCCTATATGAAACTTTCATATCAAAAGATAAGTTGTATGAACCTTCTCTTAATATTTTTCTTAATTTAAAGGGAAAAAAAAAGGAGAAATTAATAGAGGGTATTTAAAAATATAGAACTAACCCCCGTCAAACCTTACGATCGTAAATATAATTTATGTAAAGAGATATTAAGAGCTCCTTAGAGGGGCTAAAATTAGAAAACATAAAAACATTATCTCATGCATGATTTTAGCTAGAACCATGTGGTATGGAAGGATCAACATGCCCGCTTCCCTTCAAGTGGCGCCAACTTTCTCACAAATGTATTGCATTCATTTTCTTCACTCCATTTATCTCAATTCTTGTCTTCAGAGAAATCAGTTTAAAGATCCAATTAGGCTTGGAAATTAATTGAATCTTGAGTTTCTAAGCTAACCAACATCAAGTTCAAATTGGATACTAATTGGCCAGATCCAAATCTGGCATTCCTATCTGGATGATATGCCACTGTGTGACTGAGTTTTACTGCCATTTTTCACAAATGTTCTGTCAAGAAACTAAGAGAATATTTCATTATTGCAGGTTAGAGAAGGAACTACTATCAACTACCACACACACTTAAAAGAAACATGTATGTCAGAAAAGTTGACTATACCTCTAGCCCTCCTGGAAAACAAAAGGAAAGAAGATCCTTGTACTTCAGTGGTAGAGGCTTGTCCGGAGGATATACAAATAGAACCTGAAAATCACAACATTGAACTTATAAGAAAATAAATACCATTATTGCCTTCAAGACAATGATGTAAAAAGAAAATATTATGCGTACAGAATAATCAAAACCAAATTTGTAAGAAGATAACTGAAAAATCATCTCTTTCAACAAAAAATAAAAAAGAAAACAAATATCAGCAACCTAATCCATTACTGAGAAAATTTAAAAAGAAAAAAAAATATATCCAATTCAACTCTTTATAAGGGTTACATGAATGATAAAGAACCTGTGGCTCAATATTGATATCAGCTTCAACTTTTTCTTCACCTTTCAGCGTAGTTTTTGATATCTTTGTCCCGTTAATCTTTCTTCCCAATGCCACCTTCTCAAGAGCCTTGAGATCGGCATTAGGATGTAGCCCTACAACAACCATGCTCTCAAATAGCCTTGTCGGTTCTTTGACAGATTTTTGATCCTATCAGATGCAAACATTTTGCCAGTATATTAACCATCAGAAGTACAAATGCCAGCAGAAATTTTCAGCAAAATGAGATGTCGGAATATATCTGGTGATAAGGATTTCAGTGCACATATTTTTGTGTAGAAGTAAAAAAAAAAAGAAACAAAAAGGAAAAATAAGAAATAGCATTTAACAGTAAGAAAATAATTCTTCTAGTGATACACAATTCTATATTATCTTCCCACCATATTTCATCATACACCTCAAATTGCCTTTAGCAAGCAAAATAGGCATCCATATAAATAAGCAAATCAACCCTTCAAACAGTGCCTTAGGTATCATCAGCCTTAGGTATCAGCATTAAACATCTCTTAGTTCAAGCTAACAAATATAGAGCCAACATAAGTACAACAATGTAAACAAGGTAATACTTGGCAATCAATCATAGTATTTAGGGTCCACATGCCCACTTCCCGGTTTATCTTTCTTCTTCACCAAAGGGGAAGGGTAAGTAACAACAGTCACCTTTGACGGGGAGGTTGGGGAAGCCATTTCCATGCCGCTCCCTGATCCCGAGAGAATATAGTTGTGTAAAATTTATATAAGTTTGACTCCGCTATGTAACGTTGTCAAAAGCTTGATGCAATATTTATAATTAAGAAATTTAAACAATTAATGTTGTGATTCTACGCAAGTATACGTATCGTTATCAAGTAATAAAGGACTTTCTATTTAAGCAAATATCGATTCCACGGGTAAGATTTAAATTTGAAGTGATAAATTCACTAGGAAATTCACAGAAAGACAGAAAGTAAAACGAAATTACTAAAACGAAATTACTGTCACTAATTTCGAATGTTGAGATATTATCAAAACTAAATTATTTAACTATGAGCAAAACTAAAGTGCGAAGTTTAAACAGTAACTATCAAACTACTAAACTATATTTATGTGATTAAGATTTCTTATGTGAAAAAGCATATTTTCCACTACAATGGGATTTTGGTAAAATGAGATGAGATAAATGGTTTTAATATATATTGTGTCAAATATAAACAGTTTTAATTCTCTACTCTGATACTGTTATAAAAAATCATTAGCTAATCTCAGATTTAGTCCCTAAATCCGTGATTAAGCTAGGAGGATACTGGCTCCCACTTCCCTTCACCTGAAGACTAATTATCGCTTTAGTTTTTAAACACTAAGACCGAATTGGGGTTTTTAGTCTGTCACCCTAAAATCTCCAATTCTACACCCAACAACGTATATTTCCCTATTTATTTGCACTTAATTCTATGAACAAAATACTCCTTCATAGAATCAAATGTGATCCTCACTTTGTTATATAACTCATACTCCATTTCCCGGATAATATGTTTCACAACACATTTTAACAATTCAATTGGCCAGATCGAAAGTAAATTAAGTTCGGAATTAAAAAATCATCATAATTTATTTTATATTTTAATATTGGCACATCCATATTATCTCTTCATTTCACCATAGCTCAGAGTATGGAGAAAAATAAAAAAAAACTACTCAGACTTCATGAGAAAGATACAACAAAACACAAATTTCATATATAAAAGAAGGTTCATACAACACTAATAAACAAACAACACTTATCTGAAACTCTTTCTCAAAGCAAATCCCCAGTAGCCTCTCTTAGGAAATGTAGGAAGAAGAAATCTCTCACTTTTCTCCTTCTCCAACACTCTCAGAGAAGAATTCACACTTAATCTCACCACAAAAACTTTAAGCTCTTAAAGAAAAATCACTAATAGACTCTTGAATGGTGGTGCAATGAAGATGGAAAAAGTGTATGGAGGTGAGGTGTGGCGAAAATGAACAAGAAGGAATGAAGAGGAGCACCTTTTCTGATCAATTTCGGCCCCAAATAGAGCCTAGAGTCGATTCTCCAATAAGTACAGTCAAAAACTCTTAAAAAAGCGTCAAAATTCGTCTAATCTTCTAGAAACAGGGTCTAAACTGACATTGGTGTCATCGGCACCAGTGGTCTGTATTTAATATCCATGCTCTTTGTCAAACGGTTCGGCGCTGAGTAAAATCCATCGTCCGTTCTGTAAGTCTGCGCCGTCGGAGCTGAGTATTTCTTCAAAAACATCATTTTGACTCCAAATTTCATCATTTTTGCTTCTTTTTTGCTGCACGTCCTAAAAATCAACTTGTAAGAAAACATCAAAATATCTTTCATTAAAGCGTAATATCAGTAAAAATGAGTATAAAATATGGGTCTAAAAATACGTATATTTTTTATATATCACTCCCCTCCTATTAGGATTCCTCTTGGTTGCCTCCTTTTGGAATCAATTGCTCATCTTGCAGCCATGCCCCCTGCATACTTCTATGTTGCTCCCCTTCTATTGGGATTCCTCTTGGTCGCCTCTTTTTGGAATCAATTGCTCTTTTTTCTTGCAGCCATGTCCCCTTAACAATACTATTCAACTTCGCTTGAACCACACTAATAGAGTGAGAATTTCACAGTAAACTATGCAACGAACTACACCAATAGAATGTAAGGGTCCGTTTGGGGCAGCTTATTTGGTGCGGTGGTGTTTTCAAAACGCGTTTGACCTGTTTGGGTAAACTGCATTTTGGCAGCTTATGTGTTTTCAAAACGCTAAAAACAGTGTTTTCATACCGCACCTGTCTAGGTGCGGTGGTAGCTTTCCGGCTGCGATCTAGCTTTTTAAAAAGAATAAAAATTTGTAATAGCTGCCGCATCTAGCTTATCAGCAGATTATTTTTAATCAGCTTATCAGCAGATTATTCAATAAGCTGCAGCTGCCCCAAACAGACTCTAAGAGTCTATTATGACAACACCTTTAACAGCTATCCCTATTTCCTTTGTCATCAAGGCTTTGGTTTTCATGCTCAATGCCTACATCACTACACCTTTGCAAGGGCCCACACCATTTCCATCACCTTTTCTTCAGCCCATACAACCTAATTGCCTATAAATATCCCTTTCTACCTTCAAAATGGATATTTTGATTTTATTTAGACTTTAACTCTTTTGTGACTACAAATGACTTTAGTGTAAGATTTCTGAGAGCTAGTATTACTTCTTCACCATTTTGAACAAATAAAGCTCCTCTCCTCTCTAAGATGAAATTGGCCAAAAAGCTCAACCCACTTAAAGCTTTTGTATACTCTTCTTTCCCGTTTCCTTTCTCAAAAAATTTTGTAGGACAAACATCAGCTGAACTATCGATAGAGTGACCCAATTTAAAGTCTAACCCTCCATTCTTCTCTACTTTCTAAATTTGGGGGAACATAGGTCACATCAATTTCATACACACCTGAGAATCACTTCCATATTTGCAGATAGAAATAGTTTTATATTTAAATGTTTTTTATTATCCTTTTAACACTGATTTTATAAATAAGAATCCATGATGAACATTTAAATTATTATTGAAAATTAATGAATGAAATTATTTGCTGCCAATTGAGTACTATCTAGATTATATTTGCTATTGTGAGAATCATTTTAAGTTGTGTGTACAGATTTTCCTCTTCCCCATCCAATGACATTTCTATAATAATTATTATTGAGTGTTAATTCAAGTGTTAACTCCTTTTTGCACAACCATTTTGCATTTAGTTTACTTATGTTAAGCATCATTTACCCTTCTTTACACACCAGAACAACCAAAATGTATATTTTATTAACTTAAAATCATTTATTATTCTTTTCCTTTAAATTTTACCATGCATCCATCTTAACATTTTAATCTTTGACACACTCAACTTTGGCATGTAAACTACATAAGTTTTAATTCACCCTATAGCTTAATAAATCATTTGTTAAATTATAGAACACTCATTCTAACATTTTGATAACACAAAATGATCACACTTGACTTCAATTTAGTTATTCATCACCATCACCTATGTCACACCATATATAAGATGACATTATGAGTTAAATTTATCCATTTTTTTTTTATTTCTTTGATGTATTTGTGTCATTTCTTCTTTTTGACTCATGCGATATTATATAATGTGTGTTAGAGCTATTAGGTAACAAGATCATAATATTCCTATAAATAGTAAATATGCCCCCATTTAGACATCATAATTGATGAGTGTTATTTTTCGCATACTATGGGATTTTTGCCCAATATCAAGAAAGGGAATTGAGTTGTGTGATGTTTCCTCTTACTCTAAGAGTGTCGTAATAAAGTTAATTCTCCTGTTCTTTAGTAAAATCTTTTTTACCAACCCCTTTTCACATCTAGCTGACTCTAACAATTCTTTCGTTTCAAAATATGTTGTAGAATTGTACCTACAACAAGAAACAAAGCTATCCATTTCCAAAATCAAGACATTCATGGAAGCAATCATAAATCTTTTCAATAATAGTTAGTCACTAATTGCCACAACGAGCCTCCTATAGCCCAAGTTTCTTATTTGCTACAAACTGGAGCATCATTTATTTAATTATAAAAAACAAACATAATCTAGACAAGATAAATAAAAAGAAATTAAAAAATATGAACAATAATAATGACACCGTTATAGGATTCATAAAAGATGTAAGATAGAATTTAGTAGGTAGAAGTAGTAAAATGAAAGAGGAAGAGGATATGTGAAATCGACGAGTTCGAAAAGAGATTGAAGTCATACGGCTACTAACCAATCCGAAAAATGTGGATCAAACAATGAAATGACGAAGTAAGGACGTCAAGGTGGATCCACCACATGCTCTCTTCAAGATAGAGATTCACCACTCGAAAAAAAAAAATCTACAGCTCTCCAAATAAGAGAAAATAAATGAAAAAAGTCTCCTAATAACGTAAACAAAAAACAAAAGTATTTAAAACAAAAATTAACAACATATAAATAGATCCCGACAAAAATAACCCTAATCATATTTCATGTAATAAAAAGAGGTACATAAGTCTGGCGGCAGCAAACAAGCAAGAAAGTCCTGCTACAGACCTCCACAAGCCAAAATCTCATCCCAATTCTCACCCCACATACGCAGGCAAATCACTAGGATCTGCTCCGCATAAGAAAATATACCAAATTATTTATATATTTAAATCAACTGTTAAATGTCTTTTTTTCATTTAACCAGCACCAAAAAATAGGCAACTAGATAATTTAGCAGATAAATTAGTGCCCAAAGTGATAAGTCACTACATTTCTATCCCAAAGTGACAACTCTAATGATCCTTTCCACTGAAATTGTCTTATATGAGCTTTTAAAATTCTATCTCCTTATATGAATTTTTTACAGCCCTTTCCCCTGCTAGCATTATCAAAAGCAAACCATTCCATGTGCTTTTTTTGTCTTTGAAACCAGATGAGAGACTCCATCAGCCATAATTACTATCCTTATAATAAAAATTCACTCAAATAATTTTGGGAGATTTACAAACATACCACACAATTCTTAGGTATTTACATATCTAACACCTAAGCTTCAATATTTATTTATATAAGTATCTTAATCACATCAAAACATATAAATTAAAAAGTGTATTTTAATATAGAAAAGTAAATGTTAGTTGTAATTTTGATGTGATTAAAAGATTTATGTGTTACAAATCAAGGTGCCTAAGAATTGTGTGGTATGTACGTAAATCCTCCAATATCTTTATAAGACAAGCTAATTTAATATTATTCTTATAAACTTTACAAAGGCAAATTTACTTTCTAATTAAATAAAAATTAGCAATTGTTACGGTTACTACACAGTTGTTTCATGCATACTATGACAGGGCTTTCAAAGTGTTACAATATTTAAACTAACACATATATTAACTTATTCGTAGTAGGAATGTTCAAAAATTATTATTATAATACTTCATTACTACTAAGGATACCATCCTTTATTGTTATCATCTCTTGCTTATATATAAGCACATATTTGTTTATACCAATATAACAATTCAGTAAAGATAAATCTATTTCCATTTCCCTCCATTCTAACATGGTATTAGTATGACTCTACCTGTGCCACCGAACCACCTCTAAATTCTAATGCATATTTAGCATAAATCTACTCATCTGTCTTCATCCATCACAGATTAACCTCCTCTCAAAGCTTTAATCTCCATTGCTAAACACTGGCACATTTAGCCTCATCTATTTCCTGCAAATCTATACACCCTTGTGATCTCTTATGTTCTACAACAAAGACTACATTGGTGCCTTTTGTCCTTAGCAGCATTAATGGTCTATATTAATACTCTCCGTCGGCACTACTGACTATCTCTAGCATTACTCTTTGTCAACAATATTATTGATATCTCTGTCCAAGGATCTTAACTCTGTCTTTTCTAACATGGATCTCATTGCAAATGCTTTGAATCTAATTCACACTACTATCTATTGAATAAATCTATCGCACTCCTCTTGTGACGCTCATAATCTCTACACAAGAAAAGGGGCATTTACATACAAACCACTCAATTCCTATGAGTTTACATAACTAGCACCTAAACTTTACTTTTTTACTTTTATATCACTCAAATCTTCATGTAAAATTAAAAATACCACCATTTAAATTTTAAAATGTGCAATGCACTTTTTCGTGCATAGATAAGAAGGCATGTAAAAATTAAACTTCAGGAGTTAAATATGTAAATACATTAGAATTCAGTGTCTAAATATTCCCCAAAAAAAATTAGACTATTTTATCTCTACTCATTATTATTTTTAAACTCAAGTTGATATTTCATATATGGCCTACGGTTTGCAAAGGAGTTGACGCAAGAGCTCGCGCCTCTCGCCTCCTGCCTCCTGTCTCCCGGGATCCCACGATCATTGGATCAAAGCACGACATAATCCCTTCCCACTACAGTCCCAATAGTGGGATTTTCGCAAAAATGGATGTCGTCTGATTGCTAGATTTTGTAATCTCATAAAATCGTCACTATCGTAATCGCGGGATGGATAACCGCCTAATCTCCAATCCTATTTGCAACTTTAGCAATAATTTTTGTACTTTCTAGCTTATTTCTTATTTCTTTATTTCTAATTAGAGTTATTTTCTACTAGGAAGGTATTTATGTCTTGTTTTTTGTTTTTTTTTTAATTTTAACTTTGTTTTGTGTAATTTAGGGATTATAATATATGTTTTTTGCCTAAAGAGTATTGTATCATCTTCTTTTTGCAAGTGGTGTGTCTATAGCTTGTCCAGAAACTGGTGGTGGAACCCCCTAGTTGGTTTTCCATTAAACCCATTGTTTTTAAGCAAGACAGCCATCGAATTGCTTCGATTTGCTATCCAACAGGAAATTTTGTCATTTACTCTTTAGTTCCTCGTCCTATAACCTTCCTAACACATTTTCTAACCATACCACATAGATTATTTGCCCTAATTCGGTGTCAAGAATATTACCATATCTAACTTATCACATGTGTTTGCTTATTTATAATAAGAATATATTTTATTTCTTATTATAATATTTTCTTGTTATTAAGGATATTCTCATTTATTCTATTTTCATCTATTATTCTCATCTCTTGCCTATATATAGGGTATATGCATATATGTGCATGTACTAGCATGACAATTTACTAAAATATATTCTTCTTAATTCCATCCTTCTTATCTGAAGCAATGTGAAAATAGAAGCTTAAAGATCTATCCAAATGAAATCTAATTTTCCATCAACTATAAGATCACCCTACAAACTTCAAATCAAGAATAACTAATTAAGTACATTTCCTAATTAAAATCAAAAAGTATGGTTGAAGGGTATTGATTACAATGTCTAGATAAAAGCATAGCACTCATCTTATCACCAAATATATGGAGGCCTGATTTCTAATGGAAAATCAAAGAGGGTGAATATATGAGAACTTTAAAATCATAATTTGATGTAAGCATTAATGTAATCTAGAAAGAAAGAAAAAAGAAATGAAGAAAGAATTAAGAATTGAAGGAAAAAAAAGAATGCCTCAATGACAAGCCATGAGAAAAGGGTCTTCAAAAGAAAGAATTAAAGAGAGAAAATAAAAATAAGAAAGCATCAATGAAAAGGCCATGATACCAAGGTTTGCAACTGAAATCTCGCCCATTGGCGCTTCTGGGTGGTAAGAATTTCTGGATTATATGCTCCCTTCTTCGCTTGAGGGGGAGGTGAAAAGCCTTTCAGCACTTTAGCAACATGACGTTGTAGTTTCTGAAGTTGGCTGTTGCTATTCTCATCTTTAGAAGAATATATAACAGATGGACGTGGGGATCGAACATTTGAAGCTGAAGCTGAAGAGGTTAAAGGATTCACAAATTCGTCAGTTGTATGGAGGAAAAAAGAAGCACCCCATCTAAGACTTCCAGAGTCTTCACTCTTCTCCATGCTCATCTATACAAAAGCAAGAAAAAAAATTAAGAAAAATAAATTTCATAAAGTTAAGGGTGATAGGTAATAAAGTATAAGTATTAGGACAATGAGCCAACGACACTTACCAATCACAAGCAAAATTTGCTAAAAATTACAAAATAAATAGACCAAATTTGACCATTTTTTTTTGCATCTAAATTGATTAAACGTAAGTGTTAACCATAAAAAATGGAAGCCCAAAGAAAAATACCCCACAACCGGAAGAATTGAAAATCTCCTTCCAGTTTAATCTATATCTAAATTTTAAGGTTCAATTTTTATAAATTGATCATCAAGGCATGTTTAAGACATACAAATTTAAGAAGTAAATGTATCATTTCCATTAACATGCAGAATATTAAAATAGAAGAAAAAATGAATAACAAAAAAAATCATGAATTGCCTCAGTCACTGGCATCATACTCATACATTTCTGCCGATAACAATGATAGTGAGACTAAAAGAATGGTGATACCTATCATCATGCTCGGGTTCAGGGGTAATACTTTACCACAAAACAAGGATCCTATGAATGAAATTTTCCTATAATTTTCTTATAGAAATTTTAGAAATTCTCAAATAATTATACAAGTAATTTAACCAATGAGCTCAGAAGAATAAAGAATATCTTCATCTCTCTTGGGATCATATGAACCAAAACTAATATTTCATAGCATTAGATTTCATTTATCAAGTCTTCACAAGACTGCTACAACAACAACAACAAGTCTTTATCCACTAAGTGGGGTCGGCTACATGAATCTTTTTTCTCCACTGTGTAATATTGAGTATCATATTTTCATTTAATCCTAATAAATTAAGACCATTTTTATATAATATGCCCAAATCTTTATAAGTCTGCCTCTACCTTTCTTAATGTAAGTCAAATCCAAAACATCTACTCTCCTAATAGGGTCATCATAAGACCGCTACAAGAAAAGCAATAAAATTTACCCATCCAATCAGCGGTGTGTTGAATGTCATAGAAAAGCATATTTATCCTTGGAACTAATACAAGCATTCACTTTCTATTTATGCTACCTTAATTACAGTCAAGCACAACAAAAAAAAAGAAAGCGCCAACATGGAAGTCCAATTGTGCAGCTTTTCAATTTGCTTGGGCTTCATTTTGGTTAGTCGCATTAGAAATGCACTTTAAACTAATATAAAGTGTGGCCAATAAGTTTTTAAGGGAAACTTAAAATGAAGTTTATTTCACCATCTTTACTTCAAAACAATCACCAAAAGTTGTTTTGCAAGTGAAAACTTCATTTTTACAATGTTCACAACAACTTTTCAGCAAACCAAGCAGCCCCTGAATACAATTCCAGTCCTCTAAGAAGGATTAATATCAGTAGCTTGGTCCTTTCAGTTTCCATGAGTGGATTTAAGCTCGCAGGCTAAATACACTAGTGAGGACTAATCTAGGAGATTCATTTCAAATACATCAATAAATTCATTGTGAGAGTGTTTATAACAGATCTTCAGCGATCTGTCGCAGGGCTTGCGCTAGTCCTATTCAGCAGTGCACATTAGTCCAATTTTCTAGGCCAAAATAAGTCAATCTTAACACAATCCAAACAACAAATTCATGAGTAGCTTTCATTGAATCCACTCATACAAACTAATCAAATCCAATCAAGCTAAATATTATTTCCAACAAACAATTTCATCAACTCAAAGAGACACAAGTGCTCGATCAAATCAAACCAAAGCTTTAAAAAAGCCAAAAAAAAAAAAAACTGCCTTTGGTTAATCTAAACTGCCTTTGGTTAATCTAACAAACAAAGAAAGGACATCGGATTCCCGTAAACAGACCTCAGAAATCCCTCAAGGTTAAACTTTAAATCTCTTCGACCATTATCATAGCAATCAAAGATAGGATAACGAAAGGAAAAGAGAAAAAGACCAAAACCTTCCCCATACCGTTTACAAACAAAAAACGAAGATTGATCTCCGAGACTGTTTTCAGTAAACCGGCACTTGCTGCAGCTAAGGTGGATAACCAATTAGAGAAAAAGGGATGGAGAAAGTATCCACCATTGAATCTATAGAAAAAAAGGTTAGCAATAGCATGGCAAAGCGGTGACCTTACCTCCATATTGCTAAAAACGACAAACACGTAAATCCCCCCGCGTCTTATAAAATAATTGCCAGATCATTGTGAATGCTTCCAACGATATTACATTGGTAAAAGCTTAGGGCAAAAACAGATGGATTAACTCTTTATGATAATTGGAGAGAATAGTACAAAATTACTTCAGTGAAACTATTCTTACCAGTAGGTGGCGGATTAAAGTTGCAGCGCGAGTGGAAGACCGGTAAAGGTTGGGAAATGATAGCAGCTCGTGGGCGGCAAACGCGGAGCAGAACTGAACGACTACGGGACTTTAAGCCCGCAAATTTACCTGGCTCCGAGGGCGCGCATATGCACGGAAGCTGTACGTGCGTACTCTACTTATACATTTATGTGGTAGCTGAAGTCTTTATTTTGTGATTATTGTAGTGGAATTAGAATTATTTTAGGTTATTTTAAGTTATTGAAGAGAAACTCATATATTGCACTTTAATAATCCTGAAATAACATCGCAGAGATTATTTCAAAGTTATTGAAGTGTGATATATGGGTTTCTCTTCAATAACACCGAAATAACATCCACGGTTCGGAGTTATTGAAGTGGAATATATGGAAATAATCCCAAAATAACATCCGCGATGTTAATTCGAGGTTATTGAAGTGAAATATATAGGTTTCTCTTCAATAACCCCGAAATAATATCTGTGGTTTCACTTCAATAACTCAGAAATAATCTTCGCGATGTAGCACGCGTGACAGCATATTATTAGATTCTGCGCATAGAGCTACATCCGGAGTCTAGACAAAAAATTTTTCCCATATGCTCACAGTGTTATCAATATCTTAATTTTCTTATTTAAGATATAGAAGTTTATTATTTATATGGGCCATTTACATGCATCCCACGAAATTCTTAGTATTTACTTATCTAACAATCAGTTTACTTTTTATATTTGTACCACCCAATCTTTCATATCACCTCGACTATTATCATTTTAATTTTGAAAATACGAAATACACCGTTCATGCATAGAGAATGTGACATGTATGTAAAAATTATATGTTTAGACAATAGATATGTAACTATATAAGATTGAGAGTTTATGTATGTAAAACTTCCTATATTTATTTATAACACCTCAAACTTATTAATAGATCAGTAATAATCATAATCTTCCATCCTCAACCCTTTTCTCTTTATGTAGTCCACACATCTCCCAATTTCATACATACCCTTCTCTCTTAGAGTATTTCTCCAATAGTCACAACATGGAACCCCCAAAGGGTGAGAATGCTTCCCACACAAAATCTTTTTTATATTGCAGGTGCCATGTGGAACTGAATATTTCTTAGTTGGGAAAACAATATGATTCCAACCTCCCAACTCTTACTTTTGTTCGTCATTGATGCCTCCAATGGTAAATTCTCTTGAATTATTTTTATATTGAGTAAAGAGTCAAAATAGTCTCCGACTATTTTTATTTTGTCGCTCTAGTATCACAATTTATAAAACTGTCGAAATAGTCTCCAGACTCTTTAAATTAGGGCTAAAGTTTCCCCCATGAAAGGCTATTAGAACTCAATTTTAAAATAGTATGAGAATATTTTGGCACTTCTATGAACTATGGGATTAAAACGACCGCATATAAGTATTAGACTATTTTGGCACTCTACTCTTTTTATATTAAAAATTGAGCTACATTTGTTAATGTAAACTTCTCTAAGTTTGTAGTTTATGATAGTTTTATTTTGATTAGTCGCTACTAGGGCCGAGAATCTAGCTCAAATTTTGTTAATCGCTCGAAAATTATTTCAAATTTAAGCTCGAATTGAAAAATATGAGTCGAGGCAAAAGCTAAAGCATTGAATTGGATCGATCAGATTGACATTTGTATTATTAATTACCCATTTAATATAATGAGATGATGGATACATGAACTGTGGATGGAAGTTTAATTGTATAAGATAGGCTAAAATGATTGATGCAATATCATTAATACAAGTCTTTCATAGGTTTGCTACTAGATCATAGAGTTGGCTTCATTAATTTTATTTGTATTTTAGTCATGTATTTTATTTCATGTATATCTTTTTATTTTCATGCATATTTATTTCCCTCCATCTTCATATATTTCTTGTATTTTGAAACGAGTTATAACTTCATGTAAAGGTATTGCTTGTCATGCAAAACCATACATAAGTCAATTGATGTTGTGTTAGAGCCTCCTATATTTTAATGAGGGGATACATGTTAGGAAGATTTATGTACATACCACTCAGGTTTTATATATTTACATATCTAAAACCTAAACTTAAATTTTTACATATATGTCACTTTGTCTATGCATGAAATGGTATATTTAACCTTTTAAAAGTTCAAATAGTTGTATTGTTTATGTGATGTGAAAGATTTGTGTGATATAATTGTAAAAAATAAATGTTGGATGTTATATATGTAAATACATACGAGTTGGATGGTATGCAACTAAATGCCTCTATGAATTGAAGTTATTTCTTGTGTCGATGGAAAAACTAATGTCTATGGAGCAAGCAGCGTCCGTACAACAGACGCGATTTATCGGAAG